CCTTCTTTTTTCCCAACATGGTGCCGGTCGGCACCCATTACCATGGCCCATTATCTTAGTGCCACTCGGCACACACATTGTGCCCCTCGGCACAATGTGTTTCTAGTCCCCGGTTACGCAGATTTCTGTAATTCCTTTTTATTTTCAATTATCCTTCGATTAACAGTATTTCAATCCAACCAACGCAATATATAATTATAACAATACCACAATTACACCAACATCGACATAAAATAATTCTCCAACAACAGATTCATCAATTGAATTTTTGTAACTTTATCAGGAAACACTATATTGCAGTAGCAACAAAACAACAACTTGTCACACATAATCACACACGATAATTTCATATAACCAACCCCACATATCATTTATCATATACCTAATTATAGAGCAAGAACCCCACCCTTACCTTGGATTAGAGACCGCTCTATTCCACCGATTGAACCTCACTTTGCCAAAGTTTCCAACCTTTGCCTCTTTTCCTCTTTTCTGCAATTTTGCAACTTCCACGTTCCCACAAAATACTCAAGACTTTTTCCTTATTCCTTCTAATTAACCTAGTCCTCATAATTAGTTTAACCTTATAATTATTAATATTCTTATTGGGCCTAACTCTCACACCCCACCTATTACTCCATACAACCAAATAATGAGCCCAACTAATAAAACTTATATTATTCTAATATCTATATTAATATTATTACTAATATTAATCAACCAAATAACAACTTAGCAACTTAAACCAACATTTCTCGATATTTCACAACTTCAACAATTTCAAAAACATATTCAACCATTAATCTGTAATTAATTTAATAATTAATTTAATTAACGTGCGTTACATTATTCGACAAACAAATATAAAGTAGTGATTAGTCGAGATGTTCTTGTGGATGAAAGAAAAGTGTGGGACCGGAGTCAAGATTCAGTTTTATAGGAATCAGACACAGTCATAACTGTGTTCGAAGAAGATCAAAAGAATGAGGCTTCAACTAGTCGAAATGAACAAGGTGATGCTTTAACTAATAAAAATGAAGAACCACCCGTGAATAATGCTAGAAGGTCGATAAGAGTAAGAACTGAGTCAACAAGGTTAGCTGGATATGAAAGATTTCCAGATTAAGAAATTGATGCAGATGGTGATTTAATCAAAGAAGCCATGATGATGGTTGAGATGAAACCAATTGATTTGAATGAAGCCACGGGTAATTCGAATTGGTGTGAGGCCTTGAAAGAAGAACTCAGAGGTATTGAGAAGAACAAGACCTGGGAGCTTGTTGAAAGAACCCATAAGAAGCCAATCGATGTAAAGTGGATCTACAAGGTGAAAAGAAGGCCGAATGGTGAGATTGCGAAGTATAAAGCAAGATTGGTGGCGAGAGGTTTTCTGCAAAAACGTGGTATCAACTTTGACGAAGTATATACGCCTATTAGGAGGCTAGAAATAATAAGAATTGTTGTTTCGACAACAACATATAGAGGATAGAAGATGCATCAGTTGGATGTAAAGTCAACATTTATGAATGGAGTATTAGAAGAAGAGGTATATATTACTCAACCACCAGGATTTAATATCAAAGGGTAGGAGTCGAATGTTTATAGATTAAGGAAGGATCTCTATGGTTTAAAAATAGCTCCTAGAGCTTGGAATAAGAGAATTGATAGCTTCCCAATCAAAGCAGGATTCACAAAGTGTGTCTCTAAACATGGAGTGTATGTAAATAATGTCAACAGTGATAGTCGAATCATTTTATGCCTCTATGTAGATGATTTACTAATTACAGGAGCATACGAAGCTGAGATAATGAAAGTCAAGTAGAAACTAATGCAGGAATTTGAGATGTTCGACTTAGGGAATCTTTCATATTTCCTAGGGATGAAATTCAAAGATACTAAAGAAGGAGTGTTCTTGCATCAGACAGAGTATGCCTAAGATATACTAAAGAGGTTCAAAATGAACAACTGTAATGCAACTTCCACTCCATTAGAAACTGGAGCAAAGTTGAAAAAGGAAACATATGATGAGTTTGTAAGTTCAACCCTATACAAGCAAATCATTGGATCCTTGAGGTATCTTTGCAATACTAGACTAGATATCTGTTATGCTGGCTTTTGGTTTTCCATATTGGGTGGGTGTTACTATTGAGGTTAAAGAACCAGTACCCAAGCCGGAGTGCACTTGGACACTAGGAATAGAGTGGAGCATGATGGCTACTGGATGCAGGTCCTCACTAGCATATTCACGTGGTCTGCGCTTGGTTGAGATTCAAATGAATTACTGTCGACACCCACGTCTGTGGGTAAGGCGGTAGTACTTTTAGGCGTACCTGTGATTCCAAGTCACCTTTGACCTACCCTGACCTAGTCTTTATCCATGAGTGGGGGGGGATAATCTTTATAGGTACAGATGGTGACTATTTATTCTGATGGTGACCGTATGTTCTGTTGGTGACTTTGGTTCTTTGGTTATGATTCAGATCTTTGATCCTGATATATTCAACTTGGCCAGAGATTATACAACGGTTATTCATGGTACTTGGTTCTGTTGTGTTCTGATTGGTGTCAAACCTTTGATCCTGATATATTTAACATGTTTAGAAACTATACAACATTTATTCACTAGATTTATACATCAGTTATCCAGAGGGTTGTACAGATGTTATCCGATTGTACAATTGTTATCCATGATTGTGCTAAACTTTTGAACCTATGATGTTGCATTGCGTCAAACATTCTAAGAGTTTATTTCTCTTATCATCCAAGAATTCTCATGCATTTCATTCATTTTAGCCCGGATATTCATGGCAACCTGGCTTCTTATGTAGAACCTCAAGACCAGAAGATTGACTTCCCGACATCGTTGTCATCATGAATCAACTTCAGACAGATATAGTTGAGATAGGAACGTGTATGGAGACTCAGATGGATCAATTCATGCATCTTATTCAGAACCTAGCCCTTGGACAAGAAGAGTTAAGACAAAATTTTCAGAGGGTCGCAGTTGCTATTGTTGATCACGTTAATCCACCAGGTGTTAACCTTAACCAAAGGGAGATTCCTTTGAATCATAATGTCAAGAATATCGTTCAGATCCCTGTCAATCGAGCTCCTCACCATGAGAATATTTCTGAGTCATCATATGACACATTCAGGTTCCCGATTGATGGGACTAATTATGATAAAAATATTCACCTCCTGGAGGAGAGGATGAAAGCTATTGAGGGTCGTAACTCCCTTGGTTTAGACACTGCTAGTTTGTGCTTGGTGCCTGGTATCAAGATTCCTGCTAAGTTCAAAGTCCCCACTTTTGAGAAGTATAAGGGTACCACTTACCCGATGACTCACATCAAAGCTTATTGCAATAATATGGCTCCTTATACGGAAAATGACAAGCTTCTAATGTACTTCTTTCAGGATAGCCTCAGTGGAGCATCTCTTGAGTGATATACTCAGCTTGAAAGAACTAACATCAAAACTTGGAAGGAATTAGCTGAAGCTTTTTTCAACCAATACAGTTACAATAATAACATGGCTCCTTCAAGAATTTAACTCCAAGATTTGACTCAGAAGGATGATGAATCATTCAAACAGTATGCACAAAGATGGAGAGAATTAGCTTCCAGAGTTCAACCTCCTCTTTTAGAGCGAGAACTTGTTGATATGTTCTTAGATACTCTGCAAGGTCCTTATCTGATGGCTGGATGTGCTTCTGAATTTCCAAAAATGATTATGATTGGAGAACAAATTGAGCATGGTCTTAAGACTGGTAAGATCCAGGATGTTGCTACTACTCTTGAATTCCCAGATCAGGACGAAGAAGAAACTAGTGCAGTCTCCGAGGACGAAGAAGCTCCTGCTTATCCTCCATTTCAGATTCCTTGTAATGTGATGGAAGTTACTTCTAGCCATGATGATCTACAAATTTGTGTTGTAATTGTTAACCAACCAACACTTCAACCTGTTCAGTATGCTCCTCAACAACAAACATATTGATAGAGATGTATGCAACAGGGTAAGTGTAATACGGTGGGAGAACTGACTTGGGTGTTTTGCATTTTATCACAATTATTACGGATAGCAAGAGTCGCCACCAAATTTTATTTTATCCAATAAAGGAAAGGGTGAAAAGAATAGGAAAGACCTTTTGAGATATTTTCTTGAGTTTGGGGGGTAGGTTATGAAAAGAGAAGGTGTTAGCACCCTTTATCTGTAGTTATCCACGGGCTCTTAGTTGCTAGCTCAATTTTGAAATGCCTTGTTTGAAATGTGTTTGTGATGATTTTGAAAGTATTTTTTGAAAAGTGCCATCGTTTAGGCGAACTTTGTAATGATTCTCGTCTCTATAAGAATGTATACAAAGTGTTGACTTTTGAAAATATTTTGTTTTTGAAAGTGTTGGTGTGTTTGAAAGATATTTTTTTGAAAATGCTATGAGCAAGCAACTATGAATGTTCTACCTACTCAAAAGGTATTTGTTCTTTTCCTCCTCCTTTAGATGTTTCTATCTTACCATTGATTGGTAAGAAGCCCCATTATTGGATGTGAAGAGACAGGTGCGGGTCATCGTACAATCATAAAAGGAGGGACTAAGATCGTTTTACCGAAGGCAACGTCGAAGGGTCATCAAGAGACTACGATATTTTTCTATCGAGGGCCTTTTCTAAAGCATCCCATATTCGAGGGACATGACTGTTTTTCCGAGGTGATAAGCGAGGTTATCCTAGAGATGCGCGTGTGAAAAGTGTGTTTGATTCAAGTTAATTTGTCTTTGATTAGGGTTATCTAGCGGTTGATTTTATGTCTTATCATACATGCCTAATTACTATACGGTATAAATAAAAATAGTAAATTGCGGAAATTAAAATTCTACGCTATTACAGAGCTTTTGGGAATGGGGAATAATAATTTACAAATCAGGATGGATCGAATCGACAATGCGATTAAAAGTCTAAATAAACAAACAATACAATCCAATTGAATTAAAAATGAACAAATATTTAAACTAAAACAATCTATAAAATTAATTAGCAAAATAAGTAACACTATAACATTTTTGGTATTTTATGTTTGTGAAAAATTTGAAAAGAATAAAAATATATATTCTATTAAATAAAATAATTAGCTAAAAGAAATTAAACAATTTAAAAGAATGTTAACTAACAAATGTTAATTAATAAAATTATTCACAAAGTCCTAAACTAAATTAATTAAGAAAATTAACTAATTTTGAAATTATATTTTATTATTTAATTGGATTTTAAAAAATAAAACTAAATCTAAACTAATATTTTGTTATCAAATATATTTAATAGAAATGGGAAATAAGGCTAAAGAACTAAAATAAAAATGTCCAAATTAGGAGTAGAACCCGAGTCATCTAGATTGCAGCAGACATGCCTTGTCACTGAACTAAAGCTATTTATCTGTTATATGCATGTTTTAGTTAAAATATAAGGGAAAAACAAAAAGGTGATTGGGCCAACAGGCCCAATAGGGCTGATCCGGTTTGGAAGAAACAAAAGAAGGGTTTTGGAAAACCCTAGACATGATAAAGGAGCCGCTGTTTTGTTTTGTTGGAAAGGAAATAAAACAAAATTAATTATTATCATTATTTCCAATGAAAGAAATTAAAAGGGAAATTGAAATAAAAAAAAAGTAACGACCCCTCTCTCTCCCATCAGTATCAATACCATCATCTTCCTCAAATCTATTCCAACCATTTGTTTTTCTCTCTCGAACAAATCATCACCATCATCAATCCTCATCTCTAAATTCATAACTGGCACAATAATAGAATTACAAATACCAACCAATCGATGACACAAAGTATCATAGATCACACTATTAGCCGAAGAATGCACAAAACTTCCTCCATGGAAGAACATTAGAACCGACACAACCTCAGAGGTAACAGGCTTCTCAAGATCAACAATGTTCACACTTTCATCTCCATCAATAGAATGATAAATTAAAGTAAGAAAATTAGTTTCCCTTTCAACAATCACATCAAAAGAAAACACTCCATCCATAGGGTTTGCATTCGCTAGAACTTTCCGATCAAGAAACTCCGCCAAGTCACGGTTAAAAGTTCCATCAGGGCGACGAAGAAGATTGCATGCCAACTTGAAATTCGAGATTAAAACCCACATGTTCAAAGGAAATACCATCCTTGAATCGCTAGGGTTGATTTGGTTACTTCCCGCCATTGGATTGAGATAATGATGATGTTTTCAGTGCAGATCTGTAACGAGGTTTCTTCACGATCAAAAGCGTTTTTAACAACACAAATAGCATAAATCCATGAAGCATTTGAATGGTTTTGGGAGATTGAAGAAGTGAAATAGCATATTGATGGATATTGAAGAAGTGGTGATTAACATGAAGTGAGGTAGCTGGAAACAAATTAGCAGCGTGAGGAAGTTTGGTGGTTTGGAAGAACAGAGGCAGGCGGTAGTAGTATCAGGTAGAATAGGGAGGCAATGAATGGTTATAATTATTGAAGAATACAGACTATGGTTGGAACAGTTTCGTGAAACTGAGTTGAAGACTGGGTGTTTGCGTTGGTAGACGATGTTATAGTGGCAGCTGTACGGCAGGAAATCAGGTGCAGATTGAGTTGATGATGAAGTACAGATGAAAATGAGGAATCAGACAGAGATTATGTTTGGAAGTTGGTTGTTTGCTGATGGTGATGATGCTCTGTGGCGACCAGATTAACAGTGGAGGAAGTAAAGAAATAGAAGGCAAGTATAGATCGAGAATGGCGTGAGATAGGCGGAGGTGGTGAATGCGATTGGAGGATACTAGCGTGGGGTGAGAGTTATGCAAACTGGTATAGATGGTGAAGGAGCAGCAGAAGATGGTGCGTGTCCGTCTGATAAAGGAAATTGAATGGAAGAAACAAAGGGGGTGACTTGGATGATACTTTTCAAAAATAAAGTTGAGAGTTGAGGTGTGGTATAGACAAACAAATGCGAAGGATTGTAACATATGTTTTCTTTTTTTCTTCTTCTTTTTAATAGAATTTTCTTCATGTTTGAACAATTTCTTTTTTTTAATCCTTTAACAGCTAACAATAACATCAAACAACAACATAAACAATAAAATAACAACAACAAATCAAGGTAATACAAATCAACATCATATGTATGAGATGAGAAAGGGAGGCTTACAATATTGGAGTAAGTCTGATGATTCCGACTCCGACGATAAATCGGAAAAACAAATCGAGGTAAAAATTGCTCCTTAATTTCTTCTCCTTCTTCTGAATAATTTTTAAAAATTGTTGAAGCTTTTATTATCTGGAAAGTGCAAGTTGAATGCTTCGATTTAGTTCTATGAATTTTTTTGGTGTGTCCAAAGCGAGAGAGTTTGGACAGAATTCTTGAGTTTATGCAGCGAGTATGAGAAACGGTTTTTGAGAATTGTTTTTGTGTTTTTTTTTCCTGTAAAGTGTTTTATGTAGGGTGAGTTTGGATGAAGGAAATTTTTAGAGTTTTTGAAAACAGAAGTTTGATATGAAGCAGATTTTTGTATGTATGTATCGATCCCTTCTTTCTCTGTTGTTAGTTTTAATTTATAGTGGGATGAGGGTGGAAATTGGGGGGGGGGGGATGATAAGTTTTTGAACTGTATTTGCTACTGCTTTTATGCTTTATTAATGTAGTTTATGTTTTCTAAGTTAGTGCAACTCTTGGACTGTTTATGATGCAGGGTAGTAGCAGGTTTAGGCAGCATATGGAGCAGGATTTTGGACTATTTTGTTTTAATGTTACAACATGTTTTTTTTGTTTTGTTTTATCATGCCGGTTTTGGGCTGGTTTGTGGGGCTGGTTATGGGCTGTTTTTTTTTTGGACTATTTATTGGACAAATTTGCACAGTTTTAGACAGCATATGCAGTAGGTTTTGCAAGGGGACAAGAGCTTGTTTTTGGACTGTTTGCAGGCTGGCAGTTTTAGATTAGGATAGCATGGACTTAGGATTAGAATATAGCTTTCATGTACACAAACATGTGACTTCCTTTGATTTTGTAATGGTTTGGTGGATTGTATAATGGATGCTTGTAAACTTGAAATTAAAATTGAATAATATTTGCTACAACTTGTTTGTAAACTTGAATGGTCTTGAATCCTTGTATAAACCTCCTTGATATTTTGAATGCATTTTGATTCATGGATAATGCTGACACTTGAATTTTGTCATGAATGAATCTTGCATATGAAACTTGTAAACTTGAATGAATATTGGAGATGAAATTGAATCAAATGGTGTCTTTGCTTTAAAACCTTGAATGAGTTTGAAACTTGAGTATCTTGAGAGGATTGAAGCATGGAACTTGAATTGTTGACATGCTTGAAGATAGATGAAAAATCACAAACTTTGAATTAGCCTTGTATGATACTTTCATTCTTTGTAGAGAATTGTTCTTATGAAGAACTTGAGACAATTAAGTCTTGTGATAAATACAACGATGTGTTCCGTTTAGAAGAATGAACTTTACATACTTGAATTACTCCTTTGAAATCAAGATACACATTTGACTTATGGTAAGATAATTCACATGAATAGATTTGAATGAACTTTGACTTTTGATAACTTAAATTCAAAATAATTCACATGAATTAACTTTGAACTCACATCTTGAATTCCAAGTAATTATATCGCATTATCCTTTGTTCTCGACTTGAATCCAACTCTTTGAATGAAATAGATGCTTAAGAACTTTTTGGCCAAAAATCCACTGTAATCCGATAATTATGAGGAAATTGTGATCCTTGAGAGTTGGACAAGACTTCCTCGAAATTAGGTCAAATTCATAAAAGGACCTCAAAAGTATTCGAATTTTTGATGATCTTTCATACATAATCAGTTCTTGACTTGTAAAGAGAAGGTTGAGATGATGTCAAGGAGAGTCGTACGCAAAAAGAACCACTCAAAAATATTGAATAGTGAAGAAATTACAATCGTTTGAACTTGATCTTGAAAAGGTCGACTTTTTGGTCAATATAGTTGATTTTCAGTCACCCGAACCATTGACTGAGCAAACTTACAATACAAGGCTTGAAACATGACACGAGCATCCTTGAGAATACCTGAAGAACCATGAAGACAACTTGAAACTTTGGAAACTCAAATTTTTCTTGAGAAATGCCAAACCCTAGTCGTGGACTCAATTCTTAGGAGGAGAATCTGTTTGATCAACTCCTGAGCTATCTTGAGCATTTGAGAAACCCTAGGATGACATTTTGAATGAAAAATGGGAGGGAAAATTTTGGGGTACAATAGTAAGCAAAGGGATAGGAAGCCAAAAAGGGTGTTCGACATTGTTCCTATGACTTATGGCCAGTTATTCCCTCAATTACTCAAGCTTTCCTTGGTGGAACCCATGCCATTGAAGCCTGTCATTCCTCCTTATTCTGTGGATTTTGATCCTAATGTGCAATGTGATAACCACGCTGGGGCACTAGGACATTCCTTTGAAGATTGCAGGGCCTTCAAAGAAAAGGTACAAGACCTGGTTGACGTAAAAGCTATCAATTTCTGGCCAGCCAGTCAGAGTTAAAGTCTCATTTGGATCAGTGAACGTCAAGACTTCCAGATCATCGTCTGAAGCAACAAGTCCATACGAGACTAGTCTCCTCAACATGGAAATTTCAAATTACATTTGCAATTCTCGTTTGTAATCTTTCTTGTTTTGGTTCAATACTTTCTTGTATGCAAAACTTGCTTATTTTCTAATATTAATCATAATGCATTGAATATGTTTGTCTTGAATTAATCCATTCGTATTCACTCATTTATGTTTTTCTTTACTTTTTGATACTTCACTCTTGTTAAATAAAGCAAAAAAAAACCTTTGGAGGGAGGATGATGAGTAATATACCAAAAATCTTAAACGGTATGCTTTATGTGATACGGTGGGAGAACTGACTGTTAATACTGGTTTTGCATTTTGTATTCGCAAATGTGCGGTAAGCAAGAGTCGCCACCAACTTTTATTTTATCCAACAAAGGAAAGGGTGAAAAGAACAGAAAATACCTTTCTCGAGATTTTTTTGAGTAAGGGGGGGGGGGGTAGATTATGGAAAGGGAAGGTGTTAGCACCCTTTCCATCTGTGGTTTTCCACGGGCTCTTAGGTACTTGCTTATTTTTGAAAACTGCTTTTTTTTTGTGTGTTTTGAAAAGGTTTTGTTTGCTTTATGATAACTCTTGTATCAGTCCTCAAGAGTGTGATAAAGAATTTTTTGAAAATATTTTTGAAAGTGTGGTGTGAAAATGAATTAGATTTGAGCAAGTACTTAACAACTATCTACCTACTCGAAAAAAGTGTTCTTTTCCTCCTTTCCTTTAGATAGTGCTATCCAACTATTAATAAGTAGGTAGCCCTATCGTTGGATGTTGAAGGACTATCGTAAGGGACGTTCATGGTCATTGAAGACAACATGTAAAGATACCTTAGTAGTTCGAAGGGACTGTCATCATATATTCGGAGGCAACATCGAGCGACAAGATCATTTCTCGTAGGAAACTAGAGGGATGGTAAGGGACTGTGATCTTTTATGATGACTTTGAATAGAGGGTCTTTGCTAAGAGTATCCCTACATTCGAGGGACATGACCATTTCCGAAGGCAACCAAAGTGGGAAATACCCTAGGGGTGCAAGTGTGCAATAGTGTGCTTTTTTCAGATATATTTATCTTGATGTTAGTGATCTAAGATTGATTGATTATTTCTTGCCATACACGCGTAACTTAGTAGCAATTTATATACAGGCATATAATATAGTGCGGAAAGTAAATTGCAGGAAATAAAAACTCCTAAGCTATTACATGGCCTTGGGGAAATTACAGTTATATAGGACTGAAAATGTAGAGTGTGGAAATTAAAAACCCTAATTAAGGCTATTACAATCCAGGAACATTTACATAATAAAAAAGAATAATAGTACGAAAATAATAACGCAAAAAATTGAGACGGGAATAAGTTCAAAACCCTAAAAATCTAATTGTTTAATGAAAATGTTTTTTTTTGGTATTTTATGGAATTTTTTTTAGATTTAACCTAATTTCTAACTAATTTTAAATTAAAGAAAACAAGTTAAAATTTAATAAATTTAATTTTCAAGAATTAATTTTAATAAAAAAACCTAAATCTATTTTTTGTGATTTTTGTTGATTTTATGAAAGATAAAAAACTGATTTTAA